GTATATATATATATATATATATATATATACAGATTGAACAAAGAAGTCACATGACCGGAACTGTTGTGAAACTGAAACAACATAAAAACTTTTTGGTGGAAGGTGCTGCCATCTAGTTACTTTCCCTCTGGTCAGTAGAGTTAGAAATTAATTACAGTGGCAGATGTATTTAGTAACTTTTTTATATCAAAGACAGGGCAAACAAGTTTGAAGGCAATATTTTGATTACTTAAATAGTTGTGATAATCAAAAATAGTAATAATCAGAAATACTAATTTTTATTTGTTGATTATTTTCATGAAAATTAGCATACTTGGAATTTAGACTAATCTTTTGTTAGAATAATTAAAAAAGTAGTAACAATCAGAGACACTAATTTTGATTGGTCAATTTAATCATAATTTTTATTAATCAGTAGTTTACATAACACTAATTGATGTAATTGTTGCTCATAGATAATAGGTTAAATTGCTCATCTCTACCAATAGGGACTGCAACCTGTTATCTTGTGTGGTATCATATGTTTTTGTAATTAGCCCCAGAATTAGCCTTATGTATGGTTGTGCCTTTCTTTAACTAAGGTGAACTGGCTAACATGTTTCTTTGAAAAGATAGGGTATTACTCAATAGATGTCTCACACAACATGTGAGATACTCATGGTAATGCCCTTGAAGCAGCATAACTGTTTTTAAGACTGCTTTTACTGATTTGACCAGCCATACTTCACATTGAAGTGTATTGTAAAGATGTACACCCATTTTAGAATTGTTTGTTTGACATGATGGATCATCAGCACGAAAATTAACTTTGAGTGTCAGAATTATTTTGTAATAGTGGTTTTGCTTGTCATAGCTAAAATATTTTACATAATTTAACTTTCAGTAGTTTCGTGAAATGTATAATTGTAGTGATATCCAAAACTGTGTACTATTGTTTTAAATAATTGTTTGAAAAAACAAACTTGTATTAACTGAAAGTAAATGCAAAGCTTAATCTCATTTCATTCACCACTTGTAACTGAGTTATACCAGTTTTGGGGTACTTCACCCATCATCATCATTAACTCTAAACAGTACATGAATTGTACATGTTTAAATTGTTTTTACTGATCACAGTGAACCTGTATTTATACAGTACAGTTTTTGAAGAATATGTTGCATTGATGCTACTAATTTATTCTTATGAATTATTGTTTAAGATACTAGAAATAAATATGAAGCCCAGTTTATCATTTGATACACGACTTGTCAGTGAAGTATCCAATCCATATTTGCATGGGGTGATCTGTTAGAGACAGATGACTATAATTCTGAATTTAATATGAGGTCTGTTGTATACGAAACATCTGATGTTTTAATAAAGTACTTGTAACTCAGTCGGGGTGCAGTCCTGTTCAAGTGCAGAATGAAAACATTTTTGCCCATTATACATTTTTTTACAGTATTCTTTTTTATTGTATCTGGTATTTACTATCCTTTTAACACAAGCTTTTGCTAAATCACCAATGTAGGGTACAATTAATAGCTGACATAATTTAATAAGTGTGACATCAAATACATAATACTATGTTGAATGGCATTCTGTAAAAGACCATGGCATGCTACATTTGACCCCCAACCATCCATATAAGGTTGTAAGGAATTCCACCCCTTATCAGTTATTTAAAACACCATAAATATAAAAATTTTGTGTATTTGCTCTAAAAGTATTGAAAAAGTAAATAACTTGTTATAGGGTTTCATATGTTTGTATTAACTGTTGTAGAAGGTAGTCCTGACGTACTTTATATTTACTCTTGAACCTCATTTATACAGCAATATATAAAGCATAACTCTTTCTTTTGTTATTCATGGTTAAATTATGCCATTTTAAAAACTTGGCTGATATCTACTGTGTAAAAAAAAAACTGTTTCATTTAGAGACGAAAATTACTTCTGTGAAAATTAAAGATCTTTCAGACTATTTTATTTTTTATTTACTCAGGGATTCACTTAGGTGTTTTCAGTTTTGCCTGCTATTATTTTCTGAGAGCTAATGGTAAGACATTTCTAAGAAGTAGTCTCTCCTAGTTACTGCTTAGCTCATGAGTTTATCATTTTGTACACCAATCAGATGGTATGTATAGAAGAGATTATTAAGGACATAGAATAAATACCAAAGCAACATTTTCTTCAAAGTACTATCATTAAATAATGTGACAGTAAGAAAAAATGCTAAAATAAATGAATAGTCTAAATGGCATTTTTGATTTAAAAAAACTTCTAAAGAAACTGTAATTGTGTTTTAGAAACTACTCTCAAGATGTTTTTTGCATCTTTTATTTTACAGGTAAAGATGACAAAAGATGAAATACTTCGACTTACGAAGGATGATATTATTGAAAAGTAAGCTTTTATTTCTTGGCAATTGTAAATAGAAAGTTCTAAACAGGGCAGAAAATACATGACAAAATTTCAAGCCACAATATTACCTTAAAAATTATTTATATCTTAATAAATTAGATGTACTCCTTGTTTAAAATTGTTTTATGAGCTCATGGTGACACACCTTTTTTAAATGTTTATTACAGATCTATAATTTTAAATCCTCCATGCTTTTGTACTAATTTTTACGTTAATAGTGAAGATTATTTTATGTATGCTAGTCATATAAAAATGAAATAGTTGTAGCTTTTTTATTTTTTTTAAATATAAAACATTTTGTATTGCAAGTAAAATTTAAAGTTTAATTTGTCATTGACATACTGTTGTTAATAGTTTCTTGAATCTACATACTGTACAACCCATACTGTGAACTTTGAGAAAATAATTGTTTATTTTAGAGTGCTTATTTGTTTATAGTTAACAAATAACTGATGCCTCAACAAAAAATTACACAAACTTTAGTTAATGCCATTCTCATCTGTTACAAGTTTTTCAAAGATATCCAGATTGTAATAACTCATTACTCTCAATTTTGCATCTTCATTTCAAATTTGCATTTGGTTGATGTTAATATTTCTTTCAGGTTGTATTTATACTTAAATGTGCTTTTCTAATTCAATGTTTATCTCTCTCACCATCAACTTTCAGCTTATTGCTGAGCATTTTCTTTATCTGTGATAGTTTGTACCTGACAGTATGTGTAATTTGAGAGATACTATTATTATATATACATGCTCTTCTAATTTGTCAAAATCCTTAAAGGAATAGATTAAGAATGAGTGCCCAAAAATATAGTAAGTCTAACATAATATTATATTTGTAACTTGATATAATTTTTTTTATTATTTTTGTAATAACATGAAACATCCAGGAGTCATTTCATTTTGATAAAATAGTAAATAACACACAACATTAAAATAGGTACACAATTGTATACAGTTTAATTAAGGTATGTGTGTGACCACTAAAATGTTGACTCTACATATTTTGACATTGCAACATCATCTTCAGGAGTGAGTTGCATGACATAATAATACCTTATACTCTTTTTTTGTTGTTGTTGTTAAATAGGTCATGTGACCTATGTAAGGTTTACAATTCCTATGTGAACTTTTTAGAGAAGGTCACCCCACATTTTTTCATCAATATTCGTTGGACCTTCATATCTATTTAGTAATACATGATATTTTTTATATTCAATTATTTCTCAGGATTCTTGAATATTTTTTGGTTGAGTCACTATTACAGTTTTTTTTATTTTCCACACAATACTATATGTTATGTTTCATGTACATGTTCTGCTATGGCTGAACTTTCATTTTTGTTTATTTCTTACATATCCTTTATGCTCCATTAAACAATATTATAAATTATGTTTAGTCCATCCAATATAAATATTCCATGCTCAATTTTATACATTCCTGTTTTGTTTTTTTTTCATTAACTGTATGTTATCTTTAATATTACCCAAAATTTGCTTTATCTTATTAACTCTGCCAACACGGGGTCAGTCGATTTGACTGAGTCACATGACCTTCTGTACTCGTTGAAAGTTGACATAACTTTAATACTTATAACTCTGTATATTGGGTATATCTTCACGAAATTTGGCAGTCTTTCAGTTAATATTACACGTCTTTCATATACAAAAAGTATTATTTATTAGTGAAGTATTTTTAATAAAATAAAATAAAGATTGTCCTTGAATATTTGTTTTGAATAGTCCATGTGCAAAGAAATTTTCATGTTAAAATTAAAAATACGTTTTGTCATCTCAAAATCTCAAATTTCCTTCGTGTAATCCCTAAAACCTTCTAAATGCATTTCAAACGTTTTTTTTCCCACTAAATCCTTATAGTATATGTTATTTTCTCTACCCTATCTAGAAATGGGATCAGTCAATTCGACCGACCTCGTAACAACCAAAAAAAATCGATATAAACCTAAATTAACCTTCTTTTCTTTCTAGAATGATTTCAAATTGTAACCTGAAACTACATTCATTTATCTTAAGTAGCTCTTAGTTCATAACGTTATACATCTATTTATAATTAAATTTTATTCTTTTATTGCCCCTTGAACCGTGTCTAACTGCTATCCCCACCATTATAAAATGTAAATCACTCACGGAATGTGCAGCTCACGTTACGCTATTGAATTACATTACTCACGAGCTGCTTGAGTGCATGCCTCGTGAACCATTTTAATTATTATTATTATTATTACTTATTTTATCTAATCTAGTCTTAACTTAAAAAAAATCTGTACTTTTAATTTTAGTTACTTTTATAATTATAAATAAAGAATAAATATGAAAAACAAGAAATAAAGTACTTACCCAATCTTCTTTTTTCTTTGCCCTCGATTGTCAAGGAGAGTTAAGCCTGATTTTTTTTAGTTGATTATATACACCTGGAAAAAAGTTAAGCACCCCCGTGTTTTTTTCAAGTGATTCAGATTCGACGTTCTTGTGACTGATTATAAATTACCATTCAATATAAACGTGTTTATCAAATGAAATTATGCATTATTGGGCACAAGAAAACAAGATTATCACC